ACCAAAATTAACCTGTAGTAGTAGTAGGATACCAAGATAAACATGTAGCAGTAGGATACCAAGATAAACATGTAGCAGTAGGATACCAAGATAAACATGTAGCAGTAGGATACCAAGATAAACATGTAGCAGTAGGATACCAAGATAAACATGTAGTAGTAATAGACCAAGATAAACATGTAGCAGTAGGATACCAAGATAAACATGTAGTAGTAATAGACCAAGATTAACATTTAGCAGTAAGATACCAAGATTAACATGTAGCAGTAGGATCCCAAGATAAACATGTAGTAATAGGAGACCAAAATTAACCTGTAGTAATAGTAGGAGACCAAGATTAACATGTAGCAGTAGGAGACCAAGATTAACATGTAGCAGTAGGAGACCAAGATTAATATATTTTTGTAATGTAAGCAATGAATACTCTTTGTAGATGTGGGAGATGTTGGAAAACAATGAGTATCTTAATGCAGTTCTGGTGTTTCTGTTAGCAAGACACACGCACACCTCCTTGGTTCTGATGCCTAGCAACAAAGTTTCTGCTGCGACTGTCGTAAAACTGTTTCCTGTCATTAGTCGGCAGTGGGCTGTGATTAAACCTTTTCAAACATCCATACTTCAGGTAAGTATTTAACCTCTCAAAACAATATGGGGTGGGGGGCAAAATAATTCTAGAAATTATCTTGGATGTTATTTTTGTTCCATAATTATGGGGTTGTGTACAGATATAAATGAACTAAAATTACTTGTGTACATTCTTTAATAAACACAATACATTCTAATGACACAAGGTCAAATAAAAAGCAATTAATGAAAATAGGAATATCTTTTACTGCAGTGTTTTACAGAAAATTTTGTTCATGTGGTTTAGTTTGGAATATATATATATATATATATATATATATTTCTTAATATTCTGTCTGCCCTCACACAGTAATCACATATTGATTTATTATATTCAAACAGGATATCTATTAAAAGCATGGCCAGGTGGTTAGGGTGCTCGACTCGCAATCTGCGGGTCGCGGGTTCGCATCCCCGTCACACCAAACATGCTCATCCTTTCAGCCGTGGGGGCACTATAATGTGACAGTCAATCCCACTATTCGTTGGTAAAAGAGTAGCCCAAGAGTTGGCGGTGGGTGGTGATGACTAGCTGCCTTCCCTCTAGTCTTACGCTAGTAAATTAGGGATGGCTAGTGCAAATAGCCCTCGTGTAGATTTGCGCGAAATTCAAAACAAACAATCTCTTTCTTTATCAAAAAAAAAAAATTTACTGATTAACTTGTACGCTCGATGAATTAATATTTTTATTAGGTGTGGTTTTACATTAACAGCCAACGAATTAAACAAACCAACTGATAAAGCTCTTCTTAAATGACTATGGTAACAAACATTCAAAATTAAAATATAATCCTGTAAACGTCATTCTAACATTGTCATGAAGAAGTAAATCTAAAATCTTTTGCATTTCTAGGTCTGTCAAAAGGCACTGATATCACAAGATATTTCTGAAGAGGTGAGAGTTTTTTTTTTCTAAACTTTTAACCCCTTCCCACCCTACATGTAGTTGTTCATTCGTATATTTAAATATAGAGGAATGTATTAGTAGCATTGTGAAATATGGTTATGATCTTTTTTATAAATAGTGTTTTTTTAACCTTCAGGCTTTTATTATTTTTTTGAGAAAAGTGTCAAAATTAAATCTTAAAAGTTTTAAATATGAATATAATCAGTTTCTGTTAGTCGAAAAATAATTTATATATTATTAAGACTAAACAATATAAGCAGATGTTTATGTTTGTATTGAAGTAAAATTATGCTACTGAAACTAGTGTTAAATGAACTAGAAATTTAAGGATTTTAGTGTAATATTTGAGACCGTTTTTTTGAATATTTACACCTGTTTAGGATGTTTCTAAGGCTCTAGCCTGTATTGTGTTGTTAAGTGACTCGACTCCTGAAGCTGTGTTTCGTGAGTACATGGAAGCAAGGAAGGTAAGAAGAGTTTAATGACAAATACAAGTTAACTGTTTCATTTGAACCACAATATTATGGAAAGAGTTCTATATGTTTTATGTTAAAAGTTGAAAAAACATGTGTAAGGTCAAAGACAGAAAATTAAAAATATTTTTGACTTTTGAGATAATAATATGATTACTCAATTTAGATCAAACATTGAAATTATAATGATAAAATAATTTCTAGATGTGTCATTGCAGTATCTTAAAAAAATCTTCTAAAAATGGAGGGATTGCTTAAACTTTGTGACATGACACAAGCCATCACGTTCTACAAGGATAATATCTGGTCACTTCTTGACTGTGTGACATGACATAGCCATCACGTTCTACAGGGATAATATCTGGTCACTTCTTGACCTTGTGACATGATATAGCCATCACATTCTACAAGGATAATATCTGGTCACTTCTTGACCTTGTGACATGATATAGCCATCACATCCTACCAGGAAAGGATTATGATGCATTACTTAAACTATCATTTTCACAATTATCTGGAAGCAACATGACATAGCCAACATATTCTAAAACGGAGCTCATTGAGTGTAAAGACGAGATTGGTGCATTAGTAGCTTTAATTATAGTAGCTTTTTCATTTAGTTTGAGTTTGAAGTATGAATCTAAGACAGCTGATCAATTTCAGTGTTGTTGTATGGTACAAATTATATGTAACTGTAGTGAGGGTTATGTTGTTGACTGCAATCTTTGCTTTGACCACGAGACCTTTATGTAAAGTTCCTAAATATCAAGTGATATTAAATAATCACATTCTTAAGACTATGGTAGAGGGTGTGGTGGATAGGGCACTAAACTTGCAACCTGCAGATTACAAAATCAAATCCTATCACTGAATATGCTTGATGTATCGGCTACGAGAGCATTATAATGTAATGATCAATCCCACTATTTTTTGGTAAAGAGTAGTCTAAGAGCTGGTGGTAGGTGGTATTGTCTGGTTACATTTCCTCTTGTATACTACTTCAAAATTAGGTAATTAAACAAACAAATATACTATGACGATTTCTCTTTGGGCACATTGTGCTACTATATTAAGAGTAAAAACAATGGTCTATGGCACAATGAGAGAAAATCTTTATGTGATGATAACTGTGTTACTAAAACTAGTCAGCTGAAATTTCTAATAAATAATTTATATTTCATTATGTCATTTTTATTTTTTACTCTTAAAACAAACTATGGTACAGCTTATTGGTAATACAGGTTAATTTGTTGTTCTCGTAACTATCTGTAAAGTTAATACTGTTGAAAGTAGGCATCTGAGCAGAATTGATTGAAATAACTTAAAATTCTTTTTTTTCTTATTGAGTGTCTTATGTTTTAAGGTCGTAATATAAAATATATTTTATTTTGTAACTTGGTTCTTTATCTGTGTTTTAGATTCTAATGGATGTTGTTGTAGAACAAGATTCGATAAATCTCGTACATGTCCCAAATTAGGTGCACCCACAAACAAGATATAGATGGTTTTACATTGTAACTTGGTTCTTTATCGGTGTTTTAGATTCTAATGGATAACGTTGTAGAACAAGATTCGATAAATCTCGTACATGTCCCAAATTAGGTGCACCCACAAACAAGATATAGATGGTTTTACATTGTAACTTGGTTCTTTATCGGTGTTTTAGATTCTAATGGATGATGATGTAGAACAAGTTTCGATAAATCTCGTACATGTCCCAAATTAGGTGCACCCACAAACAAGATATAGATGGTTTTACATTTTAAAACTTTGTATTTCTGTATTTGAACAATGTACTTCAAGTTTCACTGTGATTTGAAAACAGGCACTTTTAGTTTGAAAAATGTATAAAGCATGTGTTATAGATTTGAAATTGTTCTTTATATCTGTCAGGTTGCAGTTCAACAGATGTTTAAACCAGAAAGACAAGGTAATATTTAAATTGATACTTCAAAAATACTGTTTAATTTTGTGACTTAATTTTAACCAGGAATTTTGTTTAACACTGATATGTCTATCGTGTTTATTTTATTTTTTGGGGGGGAATTTTATATATAATTTGATTTGTAGATTGGACTGATAGAAAAAGTATTGGAAACATTTGTATGAAACAAGCTATTTTTTATAAATGTAGAACACCTATCATTGTAGATGTTATGTGTAACACCTATCGTTGCCATTGTTTAGTGTCATACCTATCGTTTTCATTGTTTAGTGTAACACCTACCATTACCATTGTTTAGTGTAACACCTACCATTACCATTGTTTAGTGTAACACCTACCATTACCATTGTTTAGTGTAACACCTACCATTACCATTGTTTAGTGTAACACCTACCATTACCATTGTTTAGTGTAACACCTATCGTTTTCATTGTTTAGTGTAACACCTATCGTTTTCATTGTTTAGTGTAACACCTATCGTTTTCATTGTTTAGTGTAACACCTATCGTTTTCATTGTTTAGTGTAACACCTATCATTTTCATTGTTTATGGTAACACCTATCATTTTCATTGTTTATGGTAACACCTATCGTTGCCTTTGTTTAGTGTAACACCTACCATTGCCATTGTTTAGGGTAACACCTATCGTTGCCATTGTTTAGGGTAACACCTATCGTTGCCTTTGTTTAGTGTAACACCTATCGTTGCCTTTGTTTAGTGTAACACCTATCGTTGCCTTTGTTTAGTGTAACACCTACCGTTGCCTTTGTTTAGTGTAACACCTACCATTACCATTGTTTAGTGTAACACCTATCATTTTCATTGTTTATGGTAACACCTATCGTTGCCATTGTTTATGGTAACACCTACCGTTGCCATTGTTTATGGTAACACCTACCGTTGCCTTTGTTTAGTGTAACACCTACCATTGCCATTGTTTAGGGTAACACCTATTGTTTTAATTGTTTAGGGTAACACCCATCGTTGCCATTGTTTAGTGTAACACCCATCGTTGCCATTGTTTAATGTAACACCCATCGTTGCCATTGTTTATGGTAACACCCATCATTGCCATCATGATATATATATTTAACTGTAGATAATATAAAGTAAGTTTAGAAAGTCCTGTGTTTAGCATTTGAAGTTATGAAAGGCCTCTTATAAATGTAGCTTATGGAAAATTTAGCTCTGGAGTTTTCAAAGTAACAGGTACGTTGCAGTTTTAAATTTTTTAATGATATTTTCACCTAGTAGTTATATGTTTTTCTTATACATAGATATGTTTACAAAACTCGCTAGTTTTCCAGTGAAAAATAAACTAACCCTATCTGGACTGATGAGCACTTTTCAGGTGTCGAATGTATATTAAGTTTCAAAGTTTAAGTAAAGTAAAATTCTAACTCTTATTTCAATGGTTTTGATATTCTGTCATCGTTTAACACTTAATTTGTAAAGAAAAGAAAGAAAGCAAAATGTTTAAACTTTCACTTGTGTGCAGTTTACGACAAAACATGGGTTTATATTTTTAAATAAGTACCATTTCTTGAGATTATAATTGTTTGTTTTTCACTTTCACTTACTTTGTTACTACAGGCCTTTTTATGAAGCTCAGCTTTGAAAGTAGCTATAAGATATATTTAAATATGATTGGATGGAACAGGTTATTTTTGTCATTTATGAAGTGTTTGAACAATCGTTTATATTTCATGAAAAAGTGACTAGTTGGAGCTACTTTAGATGTCAACAAAGAAATCTCGGAAATTTCCAAAGACTTGTGTACAAACGTGTGAATGTTTTTATAGATTCTTTAGTATGAAAAGGTTTTTGTCTTAATTTCTTATCTGATATTTTCCTCTACGACGAGACATCGGGTAAGCTCGGTTAAGTGCGTTAGACAACGGCAAGATATTGCGATGACTAAAATCTGTATTTATTGAGCATTATTGTCATATTCAAACAATGCACACAAATAAAATAATTTATAGAAAACAGTGTTGATTAGATATAAATTGTCTTAACTGAAAACATTTGTTAGCAAAGATCACAATACCTTGTTTGTCAAAGGTAATGATAATGTCATTTTGAAAGGTCAGATCCTATGTCAGCAATATATCTATCTCAGTTTTTACCATGCTTTTCACAGAAGTGGTGACTACTGTAACCAACAAAATTAATTATCAAAAGAAATATGCTAACGAACATCAATCAAATTGAAACTGACTGGACAATATTAAAATGGAACTTTCTTATCAACAATAAAAAAAAAAGTTTAACTTCTAAGATAAAAGAAATTATTTCTAATGCTTTTTTCAAAGCAATGTCTCTCAACAAAGTTTCAGAAATTTCTCAACCTAAATATGATAGAAAAATAAATCAAATTATATGAATTTTTATAAATTGAAACTATGTACTGTTTTAACCTATTGATTGCGGCTGCTCTAAATATGTGCGGAATTTTTGCAAGCCATACACCATATACGACACAGATGCATTCAATCGTCAGAAGCAGACCATAACTTATATGGCAAATTAGCAGTCAGGAGGTTAATAGTAAGTTTAAATTAAATTCATGCAATTTTGTTCAGTATTCCTGACATCCTTCCGGTCTAGAAAGGGTTAACACAAAACTATAGGACATGTGTTAAACATGAATTATGGATTTCTTATTTGATAAATTTTAGATGTGATTCAATTCTTAAGAAAAAGAAAGCAGTCCAGTTTTATTCTGAAATAAGATTATTCTTTTTTTTATTTTGAACAAGGATTCAATAGCTTGCACATTTTTCTGGATGGTTTTTCCGTATTTTGAATTATCTGTCAGAAGAAACATGATAAATAAATAAAGGTCTTTAGCTATATCAATATTATTAAAATATAAAATTACTTACTGGATGCTTTATAAATTATAACTTATTTTGGATAAAATTTTATTGCTAAATATTGAAAGTTGTTTGTTTGTTTATTTTATTTTCAGGGACCACTACAAAAGTACTAGTGTGTGAGCTAGTGTTACTAGTCGTGAAGACTCTCCATGCTGTTCACAGGGTTTGCTACGCTAGTGAAGAAACAACAAAAACCTTTGAAGGTGGAACTGGTAACAGACTTCTTTGAACATTTATTTCAGGTTTTTAGATGACGAGTTGTTTTGACAGAACGAAAGTTATATGAAGTATTAATAATATAACAAAAAGAACCCCAACTATTAAGTGCTAATGCTCTACAACTACATAGAAATCTTCAGTTGCCATTGATACTTAGCACATGTGATGGGATAGAGTTTACAGTGGAGCTTTTATATTAATTGTTGCACATAGAATATTCTGATTTTTTTCTTTCAGTCAGATAGATGCTTTGAAACTTCTAAAAATGTGGCCTTGCAGTTAGCATGTCTGATTGTTGATCTGAGGTTTTTATAAGGTTCATGCCTCATTACTGTAAAAATCAAAATAAAATTATGTTCTACACCTTAAGGCCATGTATGCAGTATAAGAGTGACAGTCAGTTCCCATTATTTTTATTAGTGTAGCCAAAGAGTTAGTGGTGTTTAGTTAGTTTACTATATGCTTTCCTTCTAGTCCTATCAGTTCAAAATTAAGGTTGGCTTTACAAGAATAAATCGAAACAAACTCTTGCATCAAGTAACATATCTTTTTTGAGTAATTATAGTTAAACAAAAGAACAGTAACTCAATCTAGGTGTAGATTTTATTGCTGGCTTTATGTTTCTAAAATCCAATTCAAAAATCTACAAATAAATTTTATAACTAGCTGTTATTTTAGGGAACCATGATTGTTCTGTGTAGTATTTTGTTGACAAAGTAGTTAGGCATATATTTCTGAATTCAAATTTTCAAAAACATTTTGAAATTTATCTGTATTCTTTTATAGTAATCTCTGTTAAACATTTGTTGATAATGAAGAAATACATTTTTTGTCATTCTTTTTTTTTTTTTTTTAGGATCAACAGTAAATGATTTGCTGATAAAAACCTTAATTGAAGTAACGAAAAGGATTGTGTTGGTGAGTGGGATTCATTTCGATCTTTATTTGTAACTAATACTTGATGATTGTGTTGGTGAGTGGGATTCATTTTGATCTTTATTTGTTACTAATATTTGATGATTTGCTGATAAAAACCTTAATTGAAGTAACCAGAAAGG